GGTGCAGCTTGTGACACAACCTGCGCCTCCCTCCCTTTCCACATCAGAGAATGGTAAGGAGGGTGCAACCAGGTTTTTGAAGAACCTTGGTTTTTGTTTTGTATGGTGTAGTAGGTGTCAGCTAGTGCATATTAAAAGTTTCAGACTATAAAACCAAATATCGAGCACGTTGCAATAGAAATAAATTCAAACTATTCTCTACGAAGGAAACACCCTGGTTCACCGGTAAAAGTTGACTAATGAAAATGCTACATTTTGCAAAGATTGCAAACATCATTTTACCTTTTTAGGCTCGTTTCAAATTATACTTCGAGAGAAACACATTTTCCGCAGTGTGGGCAACAGTACTATAATCATCGTATTGAAAACAGTAAAATACATTTTCTTTGCACCTTGTATCCGCTTAGCATGCTTCCTAGAGCGAACGCTTCCAATGACCGTCATCAATGTCGCTCATCGGGATGGCATCGTACAATACGGCCCCCATGTCTGCTGTCCATTCCGGTCTCTCGAGCTTGCGGGGCGACAGATTTGATAGTTCCATGGCACAATGGTGCGACAAAAGACTCGCCATTGAGAAACAAGGTTTGGGCTACGATGCACAGACACATTCAAGAAATTTCCTACGGGTCGTCAAGTCAGGGGCGCGGGAAACCTTCACTTGCTGTTTGTTGATGGGCACCCTTTGTCATTTTGGCTGCCATTTTGAATTGCTGTTTTAACACAAAAATATGGTGCGCATGATCACAACTCTGGCATTTTTAGGATCCTTACAGCCCGTAAAGTTAATTACCACCGTAAACAAACTGTATAAGAAATCTGCTTTCTGCCCCTTTTGAACATTCCTGTACTTGCCCGGTTGCTGGTCAGCTGACGGTAAAGGAGCTCGGCCCAGTGAAGGTTCGTCAGTAGACTTTTCCGCTCCGGAAAGGTTTCCTGAAAACAAATAATACCGTGAAGTATCTCACCAGCGTGTCAATCTGCTACCACAGACGTGCCGGTGTGTGGTTTATAACGCCCATCTACATGCACCCATCCAGACTTGTGACAGTGGCCGAGTAGACGAAGGCATTGATTTTTAACTGCACTGACCGGCACTGGCACAGGTTCGAATTTCACCAGGGGTCAGCTTGTTTTTCCAAAAGAGCCCATGGTTGGTGAACACACAGTTTCAAGGCGAGTTTCGCAATAGATGTCAAGTAAATTGTGAACACGTTTTGAGCACATTTCAAGATAGGTTTCGAGTAGGTTTTGACATAGGATTGGCGAAAAGGAAGAAGTGCCATAAGCAAACTCTTACATTAAAGGGCCCCACCAATCATTTTCTTATTGGTCTGAAACTTGTGCTAAGTGACAACAAACAACGCAATAAAAAAAAAAGCTTTCCAAAATAAAATTTAGTTGGGAAGTTATAAGCAAATAAAATTTACAAAAGCAGACCACTCTGACGTAAATGGCGCTGCCAATGGTACGCGCGATACATGCTGTCACCCCTCCACAGCCAGATCCACATCGTAGCTGTATAGTGACTCTAGCGTCGGCTATCGTTGGTACAGTGTTGCCTTGGACTGGGGTTACGCAGGTGCACAACATTCCTTCGCCGTTAAGCCGCTGGCGTGTCAAATAGAATGGCCGCCTCTCCAAAGCCGCGCACACATCGCCGGCGCTCAGCTCGCCTCTCCGTGCTTGCATTCGTGCATCGTCCCTCCGTCACCCAGGTCGCCCCCTGCACGCCGCGGGGGTGACTGGGGTCCCCACTCATCTAGCCGAGTTTCGTGAAAGCGCACGAAAAGAGAGAGCATGTAAGCATTTTATTGTATTTTATTTTATTGTAAGTACAATGTGTCGTCTAAAAGTTTGGTTTCAGTTTCCGCGACAGGGATGCCACGAGGTGGCACAAATCACAAAAAACTTGCTTTTGTTGTTTCTTCTTTTCGTGCTTTATTAAACTACATATAGTTCTTAAAAATTTAACTCTCATAAATAATTATGAGGTAAGAACAGTCACTTATTATTCCGTGCTCAGAAATAAACGTTTGGTGGACCTGGCCAATCAGGAAGCTAGTTCTTTTAACGTCATTCGCCACGCGCATTTAGCGCCCTGCGGCGCCACCATCTATCAACTGTTCTGCGCCTTGTCAAATTAAAATATGATGCACCATTCCTTTTTGCAGTCCTGTCTTTGTTGCCCGAATCTCCCGAACCACCACAGGCAGGGAGCGCATTTTTAGGATCCTTACAGACCGTAGAGTTAATCACCACCGTAAACAAACTGTATCAGAAATCTGCTTTCTGCTCCTTTTGAGCATTTCTGTACTTGCCTGGTTGCTGGTCAGCTGACGGAAAAGGAGCTCGGCCCAGTGAAGGTTCGTCAGTAGACTTTTCCGCTCCGGAAAGGTTTCCTGAAAAGAAATAATACCGTGGAGTATCTCACCAGCGTGTCAATGTGCTACCACAGACGTGCTGGTGTGTGGTTTATAACGCCCATCTACATACACCCATCCAGACTTGTGACAGTGGCCGAGTAGACGAAGGCATTGATTTTTAACTGCACTGACCGGCACTGGCACAGTTCGAATTTCACCAGGGGCCAGCTTCTTTTTCCAAAAGAGCCCATGGTTGGTGAACACACAGTTTCAAGGCGAGTTTCACAATAGGTGTCAAGTAAACTCTGAACAGGTTTTGAGCACATTTCAAGATAGGTTTCGAGTAGGTTTTGGTATAGAACTAGCGAAAAGGAAGAAGTGCCATAAGCAAACTCTTACTTTAAAGGGCCCCTCCGATCATTTTCTGACTGGTCTGAAACTTGTGCTTAGTGACAACAAGCAACGCAATAACAAAAAAAAAACGCTTTCCAAAATAAAATTTAATTGGGAAGTTATAAGCAAATAAAATTTACAAAAGCAGACCACTCTGACGTAAATGGAGCTGCCAATGGTACGCGCGATACATGCTGTCACCCCTCCACAGCCAGATCCACATCGTAGCTGTATAGTGACTCTAGCGTCGGCTAGCCTTGGTACAGTGTTGCCTTGGACTGGGTTTACGCAGGTGCACAACATTCCTTCGCCGTTAAGCCGCTGGCGTGTCAAATAGAATGGCCGCCTCTACAAAGCCGCGCACGCATCACCGGCGCTCAGCTCGCCTCTCCGTGCTTGCATTCGTGCATCGTCCCTCCGTCACCCAGGTCGCCCCCTGCACGCCGCGGGGGTGACTGGGGTCCCGACTCATCTAGCCGAGTTTCGTGAAAGCGCACGAAAAGAGAGAGCATGTAAGCATTTTATTGTATTTTATTTTATTGTAAGTACATTGTGTCGTCTAAAAGTTTGGTTTCAGTTTCCGCGACACGGATGCCGCGAGACGGCGCACATCACAAAAAACTTGCTTTTGTTGTTTCTTCTTTTCGTGCTTTATTAAACTACATTTAGTTCTTAAAATTTTAACTCTCAGAGCTCAATAAAAATAACTTTTATAAATAATTATGAGGTAAGAACAATCACTTATTATTCCGCACTCAGAAAGAAACTTTTGGTGGACCTGGCCAATCAGGAAGTCAGTTCTTTTAACGTACCCGCCACGCGCATTTAGCATACTGCTGCGCCACCATCTATCAACTGTTCTGCGCCTTGTCAAATTAAAATATGATGCACCATTCCTTTTTGCGGTCTTGTCTTTGTTGCCCGAATTCCCCGAACCACCACAGGCAGGGAGCCCATTTTTAGGATCCTTACAGACCGTAGAGTTAATCACCACCGTAAACAAACTGTATCAGAAATCTGCTTTCTGCCCCTTTTGAGCATTTCTGTACTTGCCTGGTTGCTGATCAGCTGACGGAAAAGGAGCTCGGCCCAGTGAAGGTTCGTCAGTAGACTTTTCCGCTCCGGAAAGGCAGGGAGCGCAAAAAAAAAAAAGAAGCAGAAGCAGAAATATCGTTGGAGGAGCCCTTTAAAGGAAAACTGCTTAGATCCTAATTCAACTGTCATCAACAAACTTTAAGGTTACTGTTGATTTAGAAAATTCAATCTTTGGGTCACTTGCACATGCAATTGAAGGCCCGTTCAGACAGTTGCGTTTGGAGCGACCACTACGCTTACGAACGAATGCAATTGGTTGGAACAACAAGTTACCATACCAACGAAGTGCCAAACGGTCGTTTTGTTCGTGTTCGTTTGCAACGTAAGAAGTTGAGCCGGGCTGAACTTTCTCGTTACGTTCGGGAAAGACTGCAACGACGGACCAATCAGAGGTCAAGGAGAGCTTGGTCGCGCGCGTTGCATGCCGGTCTCCTTCTATCTGCGAACATGGCATCGGTGGTGACCGTCGATGTGGACGGCGTGGTGGAAAATTACGGTTGTATTGCAGACTATACTCTGTTCACCCTAAGCTGACATTGCAGCAGAAGATACGTGCTGGATGGACCAAATTCAGAGCCAGCTGTGCGGGATGTCACCGCACTCTCTGGCGCGATGACAATGCACGTTGATGTTGCATGTTGCTGGCTCCGATTGGTACATCCAGTGCATACCTTCCACTGCACTGTCAGCTTAAGGGTGAATCGAGTATATGGCACCTCAACTCGGTCATGCCAGCATTTTGTACTCGCTCTCGTTTTTCTTTGTGAATAAATCAGTCTTCTTCCTTTGCCAGTAAGTGATGGACAGTTATGGTCCACGTCAGGCAGCAAACATATAAGCTCTTCCTCTAGATGACAAGTTTCTATTTACTACAGTGACTACATGAGGGTTGCCTTCTGTCAAATGGCACCGTGTATTCATCTGCCCAGCGCAGCATTTGGGCTTGCAGAAATTTGCAGGTATTTTCGAGAGTATCAGAATTAAAATCGGATTTACTTTTCTCAATTTTTGGGCAGGATAACCTTACTGTCTGTTATTACATTTGACAGTCATTTAACAGGTAAAAGCTCAACACAAACTTAAAACGCTTAAAACTTGCCTGTGTACGAGGTTGATGGCACTGGACTTTTGGGGACCTCCTTTACTAGACGACTTGGCGAGTCTTCTAAACAAAATTAGATGCACGGATAAGCATGATCAAAAGATGAAATAAATTTGTACACTGGAATCTTACCGAGCAGTTCAATGCCTTCAAAAGACGGTGGTTCAGCCAACAGATGCTCCTCGCTTGAAGTACCAGGCCTCCTCCATTGCGGTTCTGAGGCAGCTTCTGAAAAACCAAGTAGAAATTGAACGGCAATGCAGGTTATAATAGCTCCTTTTTTTAAAAGACTCAGTTCGTAATAAGAAAGAGAAGCATGCACACCAATTTTCATTGCAAGGGCCAAATCCAGCCTCCGGCTGTGAGCCTGTTCCTCGGCAAGCTCTTTCTGAAGTCTTTTTATTTTCCCCTCTTTCTCCTGGAGGAGATGTCGAAGGATCCTATCCTCTTGAGGTGCTGCCCTCGTCTCCTGGGTCTGGGTAAAAATACATTGCCACTGTTGGAATATCATAACTTCAGAATGCAAAAGTATTTAGGTGTCTGATAATTCTGCACCTTTTGCTTTTTCTTAAAATCTGCAGCGATGTCATCAAGCCTCGACCGCTTGCCAATCTCCTTCCGGTTCTTTTTTTCCTTTCGTCTAAGGTCTTGGACATGCTAAATCAAAACAGTAGAAATATCAAATATTTACTCAAGCAGTGTCATACTCACAAGATAAGTAAGCTAGTAAGCTTTGCATGCACAAATTACTACGGAACAACCTCCACTACCAGTGAAAGCGACTGGAAAAATGGGCATGAGAAGTAATTTCAGTTCCTTATTTTATCGGGATACTCGCCGAGAAGCAGCTAGGCCTAACCCGGGAAAAAAAAGCAGTTGCTATTTTTATGATTTTTGCTACAGTATGTACTGGTTCTGCGCTATGATTTTTACTGCGTGCCTGCCCCAAAAACATTTCGCGGTGCGCATGGACAGAAAAAAGTGAAATAGAGATGTCTCTTGTATCCTCTTCTACCTCTGTATTTAACACTTTCCTCTCCAAAGTTCTGCTGGCCCTATCCTGGCATAATAGATATTTTCCAAACAGTATTTATTTGCCTTTCCCGGTCGCGTTTGCATTTAGTCCATGTGTGTGGTGTTCAACCATTTTTTTTAAGGACACAATGAGCTTAAAATGTTCTTGGTATGCTTTGGAGATGGCATCTTTGTTAGGTCTTTAAGAGCAATTACAGAGCAAAACTATTATTCTTGCCTTTCTTGCAGGCTGCTTCTGCGTTGCACTACCATCCAAAATCCTAGGAATCGGGTACCGCTTCAGTTGCATCTTCTTCAAAAGATCATCAAGACTCTCTGTAAAAAAAACAAAAAAAAAACAAAAAAAAAACACGTTTAAATAGCACCCTTTTTTTAGTGACATGAGTATAATAGGTTCTACACACGTACTGATCGAAAAGAAAGCAGTTAAGAGTTACTGCCCCAGTCTCTTCCTGCCCAAACTGGTCTTTGCTATGTGATCACGCCTGAATTTTGAAAAAGAAAAAAAAAAAAGAAGAGAAGAAAGAAAGAAGGAGGAGAAGGAAAAAAAAACTGCTTTATGGCTTGAAACTAGCTTTCGCACTCGCATGATGTTTTTAACCCACAAAAGCATGGAAGGTTATTTTAACCCCTAATAAATTACTTACCGCCCAGAAGGATAACGTTGGCGTTGTAGAAGTCCTCATCTTCGCCTTCCCCGGAATCTGAAACCCAGTAGGCCTCGTACAGCCGGGTCGCGTCGAAGTCGGCAGCATCGCGAGGCGTGAATTTCTTTACCAGGGAAGTGGGCAAAATCAAATGCACACCATCAGTGAACTTAACATAGGCATGCATTTCGCATGGATCTATTGCGAGATACCTGAGCCGTATACGCGTGATACCAACGTTGCGTGGCAACAAAACTCCAAAACACGCCAGAGAACAACAAAAACCACGTGTGTTTCAGTTCACTTTACCCACGTGCACAAGTACGACGCAGTGTTGCCAGACGGAGAAAAAAAAAGTCAGCAGATTGATCCCCAAAAAGTAAATTTGCACAAGAATCAGTAGATTTTACGAAATCTGTTTTTCGCCGTGTTGCTATTTCCATTAAACCACACTTCGAAGAAATAGTAGAGTAACAAATAACGTGGTAAAATAAACACACACACAAAAAAAAAGATTAGTGAGTAATTTTTTATGGAGGATAAAATAAAATGGCACCGTGAATTTTTTTTTTTTTTTTTAGCATTGAGTAGTTTTGCGATTTCGAGGATTAATCTTTTTAAATTCAAGACTGAGCTACTGTTGGGATTAACAGATGGGGGCGACCGTGCGACATCCACCTGTCGTTATTATTGAAACGAAACCAAAACAAGACATTCCGGCAAGTGCGCTCGTACTTGTCCAAGGGAAGAAGTCCTCTGCGGGGTTAGCATCTTTCCTTATGCGCTGTTTTAATCTTTAATCTTTCCTTACTTTGGCTGTGGAAGGTTTTTGACGCACCGCTGTCGGCGCGGAGCACTGTTGAGACTATGCGTCGTCCGCTACGGGCTTATTTCTTTTTCGCCCGACACAAAGTTTGCGTTCAAATGACCTTTCCTGTTGTTTTTTTTCCAGCTCGAAGTGGGTGACTCTTATTCCTGGTCGACGCGGAGATGGTTCGAAACCAGTGCGTTGTTTGGTGATACTGCCGGGACGCGCCTGGCTCAGACGGCAACCACAAAATTCTTATTATTTTTTTTTTTTTTTTTACATAGCGAATATTATATACTACCGGGGCACGGTCGCACGGTGTACGAGGTGTCCAGGAGTTTCATTTTTGGTTAGCCGTTAGCATCCAATCCAATGCATCGGGCTCTTGGCGGACGAGCGTTTCGCCGCAGTAAGGTTGCAACGCCTATTGGCTGAGAGAAAAAAAGCAAAAACAAGCAAAACAACACAAACCGGAAGTGACGTAGGTTTTTGTTTTGTTTGTTTTTTAATTTTATTTTTTATGCGCTTACGTATATTTTTGTTTTGTTTTGTTTTTACTTTTGGTTCCTCCCAGTGGGTTCCTCCAAGTGTTTGTTGGGCGCTTTTTGTAGCGGTCGCGTCGGTTCCAACGGTCTTTCTTGTTTTATACGTTGTCGTGTTATGTGCCGCGGTATTGCTAAGTGGAGTTGGTCGTGATATTCAATGCTTGGGAACGAGCGTCGGCAGTGAAGTGAACTCCACAGTGTCCACAGCGCATTCATGCAAGCTAGCGGGCCCCGTCTCGCCACATCGATGCCCGTGGGACGCTTTTTCGGACCGTAAAAGGTGCAAGGCCAAGATTCCGAGACATTCGGGCTAGTTTCAAAACTTTCCACCACGCGGCGCTCAAAGACCAACCTACAGAATATTTTTCAACCAGAAAAAAGTTCCCCTCGCCACACTTCCCATTTCCTCCTCTCCCACAGTTGACTTGACGACGGGGAGACTCCTTTTGTTGCTGCATCTCGGGGCCAGATAAGCCAAGCTAAGCGCATAATGGGCGATTTGCGGCGGGAGGCACAGCGACCCCTTTCCTCCGGCGATACCAGAGAAGCGCCCGAAACCGAACTCTCCTTTCTGCAGCATTTCAGAGCCTAGCCTCTCGGTTTTGTCTCTGAATTCTTGTTTTGTTTTGCGATAAGCATGCTTGGGTACTCCGAGCATTTGACTGCTTCTGCCGTCCATGTAAAGTGACCCAAGGCCATGTGAGGATGGGCATAGGCTAAGTGCCATCGTCCAAGAACCCTAGTGTTCGAAGGAACTACCGCATTTTCCGGACTATAGCCCGGACCCGGTGCATAGTCCGCAGGGAAATATTTTGCGTCAAAAATAAAAGTGCTTGCTTAGATAGTCCGCACCCGGTACACAAACGGCACCCAGTGCAAAGCCCGCACTTAGCACCTAGTCCGAACGTAAAAAGTATCATACTCAGCAGACCTTGACAAACGCCTACTGTATTAGGTCACGATGAAGCTTTATCGTACGTAAATCAACATTAGTATAGTCCGTTACTCATAAAATCCTTCACGATTGTCATAGCGAAGGATCTAGAAAAATTATATCATTGTATTGTCGGCACCTGTAGATAGTCCGCATCGGGTGAATTTTCAACTTTTAAACTTATATAGTCCGGAAAATACGGTACTACTGAGTGTATTGTGACCCTGGGTACTTGAAGAGGAAGTGGCGAGCCTTACAAAAAGTGTTTACGGGACGGGAATTCATGCCAGCGTGCGTACTCTAACATGTCCGGTGCTTTTACCCCAACCCACCTGGTGTTGCCTAAATGGGACACACGTTGAAATAAACAGTGCTGAGGGCTGTCAGACCGTGTTTTTTGTCCTGAAATTTGACCGAAACTCCAAATATTGAGATCTGCAAAAATCCATAATACGAAGCAGAGCCTTTTTTTTTTTTTTTTCGGTTCCTTGCATTTTTATATTGCGTTTTGAGATCCTACTAGTGACCAGTGCCGCGTTTAGACGTCATATTGCACGTGGCCGCACCGGTGACTAGAACTCCACCTTTCCGTAAACAAAAGTTTAGAGTACAAGTTCACCCGTCAAATTTTGGGAGTGTAATTACAATATTGCGTTAATTTTTCTCAACTCATTATCTCTTCTCGAAATGGCTAATCACTTTAGTACAGTCGCCCTCTTGAGATTTCTAGGCGAGAGATGGCAAAAGCATTTTCCAAAACTAACTGTTTTACATTACCGATTCCTTTCTTAAAAATCACTAAAATTTAATTATATCACATTACAAATTACTGATTACTAAAACTATGGGGATTCTCTTCGTATTACATTTAATTTTTGCAGGTAGAGTTTGCTTGTCGATAATGGAATATCAGTCTGCTGTTGCAAACAGTGCAATGTAGGCGCAATATAATATATTACTGTCATGCCGCAACCTTGTTCAGGAAGCCGCCGATGACAACGAGGATTTACGATGCGCTAGTGACTCCAAAGTATCTGAATCAGTGGTGTCGCCATGCTGTACTACAGCGCAACATATGGGATGAGACCATAACCGTGCTCTCGCAAGCTCGTTTTTAATAAAAAAAGATAATATTTTTTTCTTTAATTCTCTACTTGTGCTTGTAAGTTGCAACACAGCAAGAGCTACTCAAGTCTATTGTAATGTATCACTGATATCCGATAAGCTGAGGTGGCGTAACCTGTGCAGCATAAAATGCTTTGACGGAATCGTTTGTTCCTAGGTTCACGCGTGAGGTGCGAGCTAACCTAACCTATACCTACAGCCAAGAATAAAGGCTCTGAGCATTAATTGGAATGCGACGGAAGCACTTCGACT